CATGTTGAAAGTGCTAAATGTCAGACTCCAATTAAAAGAGTGGAGAAGTGATGCAGTTTGAAGTTGTGAGCATGAGCAGAGCCATTTTATGAAAATGAGATATAAATATTAATACCTTTCATCTATACATTATATGCAGGGATGGAGTTCTCCTATTGGAAGAAGGTTCAAGAACTTTTTCTATTATGCCAAGTTTAGTCGACGAGGAAGAAGACACTTTGGAGAAGTCTTTGGGTCGTGATTGTGACACTAACTATTGATCTTTGTTGCAGGACTCAGTATGCCCAATTCTTCAAGTGATATCATCTATTCCCTCATGTAAACTCATCGAAGAAACCTGTGAGAGGATATTCTCCATGCACTTTGATTATTGTACAACTGCAAGCATTGACTTTGTCATGTTAGATGAATCAAGTTTTAGCAATATCCTTCAGGTGATCATCATTCCCTCCTTATACATGAATAATATGAAGAATGTTGCAATTTTTTGTACTTAAATAAGTATCATCACTTGGGGGAAAAATCTTGATTCTCTAGTTGGAGTAGATGTCTGCAAGGGGGAATATCTTTTGCGAACTTCACAAGTGCTGTATAATAGTGGGTCATATTTAATGTTTCATCCCTTGGACAGAAGAGTTCAGATGATTAGATCTTTGGAAATATTCTTGATAAGGAAGAAAATATTAAATTCACTTTATTTAGAGATGCACTAATAAATTTTATATGCCATTGAATTGACAGTATATCTCTCTCACGATAAACGATTCGTTTTTCAGCATACAGATTTGACAGTGACATCTGAAGAGAGAGTTCTCAATGCCATCTTCCTTTGGTGCTTACAAGCAAGAGAACTGTGTGGATGGGAAGCAGTAAACGAATTGATGGTAAATTCAACACCTGAGATGCTTTTTGGAGAGAGACTTGAGTCTCTAAATGAATTTCTGCATCTTGTGCGGTTCTCTTTACTTTCACCTGATTTGCTGAATAAGGTATATACCCTGAAATTTAGGAGCACCTCACTTCCCCGTCATTCAAGATTAATGTATACTAAAGTTGGCCCTATTAATTGTTGGCTTTGATGGGATTCCTGCAGTTTGAACAGAGTTGCCTTAGCCAGCAAATTCCCACTTTTGACCATCTGGTATGTTACAATCCTTTAGAGAAAGATTCCATGGCCTGGACTAACATTTATAATTTTTCGTATGTTTTGTCATTTTGATAGCTTTGGAGTATTAATTCATATACTATTTAACAGGTTAAAGAGGCATTAAGATTTCTGGAATTTGAGGTCACCGATTTTCAAGGAAGCCAGAGGTGAGTATACTTAAAAGGTTTTATTCAAACCACCCTGTGACCATAGATATGGTATTGCAATATCCTCGAGGGAATGACCTAGTATATTAAGCGTCTAATAAATGAAATAACTATTTGTCGGTCTGTATGCATGCTAAACCTGTCTTTCAATTGGAGCATGACTATACAAAATGTCTAAAAGCTGATGAAGTTCTCTGTGTCTTATGATAATAGATATCAGCATAGAAAATCAAGTTTTAAGGAGCTGCTCTACATATGCGATGGAGATAGCAACGGGGTCCTTTATTTTGCTGGCACATCATATGGGAAACACCAGTGGGTAAATCCTGTTTTGTCCAAGGTAAATCCACAGCTGCAATAAGCCATTTACCTTCCTTCTTTTGACTTGTTACCGTTCTCAAAAATATACAATTGTTTACCATCTCATTTTGTCATCTGTTTAAAATGGGGTAATTCATGTTTCAGAGAGTAATTATCGCGGCTAGTAGCCCCATTTCAAGATGCACTGATCCCAAGGTGTTAGTATCGAGGAACTTCCAGGTATGAATAGGATGACATTCAATTAATGTGAAGGATCTTCTCCTTCTAGATTAATTTGAGAAAATTAAAAAAAATATTCTTTTGCTCTCTCTCTCTTTTTCATCGATGGCATGAAGAAGAGACAGTCGATACACAAAAGAGAGTGTTAGCTCCATAATGTGAAGGATGAAATGTTTTTTTGGTCTCAGGGTACATCTGTTGCTGGACCTCAGATGGAGGGCGGAAGAAACGCTTCGTGGTGGATGGTTGATATTGGTCCGGATCATCAGGTTAGATTTATTGGTTTGTGTATAATTTAATTGTGTGTACATAAGGGAGATGGAAAGAAGTTTTTGTAAAATAAGATGTATGTTGTAACTTAGACAATCACTTCGTCTGTGCTGATTCTCAGATTCATCTGTATTTTTAATTGACTAGTGAAAATGAACATTTAAAATTGAACATCGATAACTTTCATTTCTCATTGTAAGAGCATTGCACGATATCATGGTTGTCTAGAGTAGTGCTGGTCAGTATACCTCGTGGACAAGATACTGAAAGTGAACACTCATCTCTACTCTTTTGGTTTCGTTAAAAGTACTCTCTCTCAGTTTATAGCACACTCAAATTGTGTGTCAATATCCCTGATTGATTTTCTCATTTGGTATTCAACTAGAAGATGAAACATCTGACGCATTTAATATTTGATGAATCGATGCAGCTCATGTGTAACTACTACACATTAAGACAGGACGGATCAAGAGCATTTATCAGACGTTGGAACTTGCAGGTAAGCAGTGCACTCAACATTCACAAACCAGTATACACATCATCTCTAGTGGATCTGTGGATGTACTCGTAACTCGTCTATAGATTATACATATATACGTACCAACATCTCCATTTTGTAGAACTGAAAATGGTGTTAAAAGTGGCGTTACAATAACAAAATTTTGTGAATTGCATTCTCAGGGATCTTTGGATGGGAAAAATTGGACAAACCTGAGAGTACATGAGAATGATCAAACTATTTGCAAGCCAGGTCAATTTGCATCATGGCCAATTACTGGTTCAAATGCATTACTTCCTTTCAGATTCTTTCGAGTTCTCATGGCTGGTCCTACTACAGACGATACTAACCCGTGGAACTGTTGCATCTGCTTCTTAGAACTCTATGGCTATTTTCGTTAGCTTGGCGTCGGTTTGAACATAGTTTTTGTTTTCAAACTCTTCATTTACAGTCAAAATGTTGTATGGTTTTTGTATTCCTCAATGATGTTTACAGTGTTGTGTTGTCATCTGTACTCTTTGCCTGTTACTTGTTTTGAGTTAAAAGTGTTTTTTTTGCCATATTTTGTTCTCTTATTATTATCATTCATACATATTAAAAGGGAAAGATAAGTACACAGATCTTAGACCGTTTATGTTCAATCAACTTTTGGAGGCATTGACAGGTCCAAATTTTTGAGTTTATGATTATGTTCAATCTTAGAATATGAATTTAACATCTATTATAGATACATAAAAATAGGTAACGATAGAACATTGACATTTGGCAGAGCTTAGGGTATGGTATATCCAACGTTAATTTTAGTAATATTTGTTACGTACGTATATTAAATGTTGAATTAATCACATGAACGGTGGATATTATATTATGAGTTGGCATCAGCAAAATCATTAGTGTAGTTGACTTGTAGTTGCAGTTTTTTAATAATAAAATGGTAATTAACGGTCGATATTAAAATAATTCTCATTTCAAGTGGGATTAGAACTAGTTATTAAAAAAATGTATACTTTAAGTGATTTGATGGCATATAATTTAAAGTTTTTCATTTCATGCTAAAATTGTTAATTATTGTAATGTAGACAGCGACTGGAATTATTATAGTGTAAATTTATGCATTTAGTGTAAAATTAAAGTATTTATACAATCAAATCAGTTAAAATTAAAATATTGAACTTGTCTTTTTTAGAAAATACTTTATACTTCATATAGGATTCATATAGGATTCTGTTATGCGAATTTAAATTAATCGATATCGAACACGGAATATCAAAATTAAAAATAATACACATGGCCTTCATATGAACCGTGAACCTTTGATAACGTGGAAGTTCAAAGAAGTAAAGTTTAAGAATAAACTGACAAATTAATTTCTTTTATTTGGCCCACTACTAAATTTGCCTTACTTTCTAACATGTCAAGTTGTGCCCTCTTAGTTGAATGATAATTCATTTTTCATCCCATAAGTTCAATTTGATTGTCATACTCACCCATGATGTTCTGAAAAATGCTTGGCCATTCACAAAGTTTATCTTAGTTCCTATGAACTTTATAAGAAGCTTTAATTTGACATGTTATTTATATTAGATGATATAATCCATAACCCAATAGACAAGTGTGTTAATATTGTAACTTTGTAATTGAGTGTGTCCACATCTTATTCAATCATTTAAGGTCATTAAAAAAAATATTTTTTGACATTCTAAAACTTTGAGTAGAATAAATAGTTCATCAATTATTAATACATATCAATGAAAAGAACAAAAACGACTTATTTATAAATCAACAAACCATTTTAGATTGCTCCAACATATTTTCCAAAATTAACATTTAATGCAAGAAAATGCATAATTTTATACTTGATCTTTATAGCTTATTTTTTTCAGTCAACCAACGAATATTTGAAACTCACAACTTGATTAAAGGGATTTACAACAAGATATATATAAGTAGTGACAAATCTTGATTTTAAATATTTTAATTTGGAGGTCAAAATTTTACCATAACCATTTGATTTATAACTAAATTTTAAATATATTATTTATACATATCTAGTAAACTTTTAAATATATGTATATACAAAATATAAAATTATTGCATTCATATTAATCAATAAATCCTTAACTATACCTGCCTTTACCACTAGAGATAGTTAAAAAACTCTTTACCAAAAAAACATGTATTATGTATACAAAAAGTCGATTTGATAACTATTGGAATTGTATACGAGTAAGTAATAGAAATATAAAAAACTAAAAAAATATGTTTTACTTCAATTTCGAAACTAATGGGGTCTGAGTGAAATATTCAGAAAATGGAGGACTACAAAGGGTCATAATGTTTTTTTTTATAAAAAGCCACTAAAATGAGGAAATCAAGAATCAGAACATATAATAAGGCAAAAGCTGAAGCAAAGTACCATAATTTAATCAATGGAAATTAATTTCAATGTTTTATCAAAACCCATTCGAGGATCTTTTCCATCTTTCTCACCTAAAGTTTCTTCAGGGGTAATTTTTACTAATTTCATGTTAATTTCAATTATTTTTAGCCTTTTCATTTCATTTTCCAATATATCTGGATCATCTCCTTAGTTTTTTATTTTTTTATAATATCAAATATGGAAGAAAAATGACACTTATAGAGCCATATGTAAGTATCATGTGACAAATTTGCAAGGTGGTTGAGTGTATAAAATTAAAAAATTGAGAGATGGAGGGGGGTGGGGGGAGAGACAATATTTAGAAAGAGTGTTCTAGGAGGTTATGGAGGACACGGATGAGGGGTAGAAGGTTAGTTAGGTATTTGAGTGTTGTCTCGCTTATCCTTTCATACTAGTAGTCGTGGAATTATTTGGGTAGTTTCTTGTTTTGTTATTTGATCTTTGTTACTCTATTTTCTGTTTCTTGTACTTCGATTATTGTATTATATATCTTGTGGTAGTTATTGTTCCTCGGTAAGAATGCTCTAACATGCTTCCTTTAGTGTTTTATCATTCCTTCTTCATATTCGCGTTGCTTTGAAATGCTTTTACTTTAGCCGAGGGTCTATTAGAAACAATCTCTCTATCTCGTAAGGTAGGGGTAAAGTCCTCCCCACGCTCCACTTGTGGGATTATATTGTGTTTGTTGTTGTAAATCAATTATGTATACATAATAAGTGGATCTTTTACAACACAAATACAGGGTCAAGGGCAAAGTTCTGAACACGTAGAGGGTTCATTATATGTCCAGGGATATGATAAAAATTGTTTCTTTATGAAAGTTATATAAGATTTGTTATGGCTTTTGCTGGAAACATAATAAGTTATAATGCTGAGATAGCTACTGAAGTTTGTTTTTTCTAGCCTTTTAAATGTACCAATAATAGATTCCGTATCGAACGAGTATGTTTTGATTACCTGGTCATGATGTTTCTATTTTTTACATTTTTTTTGGTGTTGAACTGCAATTGAAAATGTTGTATCCTATGAGACGGATAATTGAGAATGTGTTCTTTGTATGGACCTTGAGAAGCTCAAACGCTACTCCAATAATTTCTATGAATTCAAATTCAGTTTATGGCTACCAGTCAGTCCAGAAATTAGGATATGCTGCATGTACTTGTTCAATTATACTGTAAGATTTCTTAAGTTCTCAAGATATCCATGTAACCTCGAGAATTTCTTTGACAGGCTTCTAGAAATAAGATATGTTTTCCTTCTCAACATAGTACTGGACTGAAGTTTGGATCTCAGGAACGGTCTTGGGATATTTCTTCCACCCCAAAATCAAGAGTTAGAAAAGATGAAAGGGTATGTTTGATAATTGATATGGTTGCACGGATAGTATATAAATAGTTGGAAAAATTCTGGACTGGTGCTCATGGCATATTTGATCTGTGCACCGTGTGGAGATGTCAAACATGTGTTACTTCGTCCCGCCAATTTATAATACCTTAACTTGGGAAAGAGAGCTCTTTACTCTTGTGGGCATTTGTTATTTGAATTACAATCTTTATGAGCATGGTGTTTTCACATTATCAACTTCTTTCATGTGGTATATAACAGTTTTTAGCTCCGTTAATACCTTTCTTCTTTTTGATATAAACTAACTGTGGTGCATTGCTTGCCTAGATAAAGCACAGTTCAGCTATTTCCGCTGTTTTGACCGATGACAATTCGACAATGGCACCCCTGGAGGAAGATGTCAAGACTGAAAATATTGGCCTCCTAAATTTGGATCCAGCTTTGGAACCTTATCTAGATCACTTCAGATACAGAATGAAGAGATATGTGGATCAGAAAATGCTCATTGAAAAATATGAGGGACCCCTTGAGGAATTTGCTCAAGGTAACAGCCAAAAGTTGTGGCAGTTTGACCTTATTTTGGAAGATGAATTGCTTATACCTACTTTGACTTTGCTAGAGAATTTTGCATACCGGGGAGTAAGTAGTGGCTCCATTTAGGTGGCACCTGGCCATTTTTTTTATCTTTTAAAAAGCTGTTTGATTGGGTCTTCAAAAAAGTAGACAAGTTTTTTGGAGAAGTGACACACCCCGGAGTGTCAGTGGCAAAGCCAAGATTTTCACTAAGGAGATTCAAAATAAAAAAAAGTATACACATAAAGAAGCTGAGGGGATTCAGCATGTACTATACAAGCATCAAATATAGTCTTAAAGCAATTTTGTAGAAATAAAGAAAGTCTTCCTTCTGTTGCTTCACAATTTCCTTCTATTATCATGAGTTACTCTTTCTGTTCGAAATAGCTTCCTAATATTAAATTCATGATACTTTTGTTGAGATTTAGCAGTTTTTTCTTGTGTAAACTGCTCTCTTTTTTCGCAGGTTATTTAAAATTTGGATTCAACAGGGAAGATGGTTGCATAGTCTATCGTGAATGGGCTCCTGCTGCTCAGTAGGTCCTCTTCTACTACAAAATAGTAGTTTCCATCATCATAACAGATTTTCCTATTAAAGCATGGTGTTGCAGCATCATTGGCTTTTTACATGTTCTAATTGCTATTAAGGTTATGCTTCTCATTAACTCATCCACAATGCAGGGAAGCAGAAGTTATTGGCGATTTCAATGGATGGAACGGTTCCAACCACATGATGGAGAAGGACCAGTTTGGTGTTTGGAGTATTAGAATTCCTGATGTTGACAGTAAGCCAGTCATTCCACACAACTCCAGAGTTAAGTTTCGTTTCAAACATGGTAATGGAGTGTGGGTAGATCGTATCCCTGCTTGGATAAAGTATGCCACTGCCGACGCCACAAAGTTTGCAGCACCATATGATGGTGTCTACTGGGACCCACCACCTTCAGAAAGGTTTTGTTATTCATACCTTGAAGCTGAATTTTGAACACCATCATCACAGGCATTTCAATTCATGTTCTTACTAGTCTTGTATGTAAGACATTTTGAAATGCAAAAGCTAAAATAATGTGTCTTTACTAATTTGGACTTGATCCATACTCTTTCCCTTAACAAAATGAGTCAATCTATAAGTGTTTGAGAACTTACTACTTCAGCAATTAAACAGGTACCACTTCAAATACCCTCGCCCTCCCAAACCCCGAGCCCCACGAATCTACGAAGCACATGTCGGCATGAGCAGCTCTGAGCCACGTGTAAATTCGTATCGTGAGTTTGCAGATGATGTTTTACCTCGGATTAAGGCAAATAACTATAATACTGTCCAGTTGATGGCCATAATGGAACATTCTTACTATGGATCATTTGGATATCATGTTACAAACTTTTTTGCTGTGAGCAGTAGATATGGAAACCCAGAGGACCTAAAGTATCTGATAGATAAAGCACATAGCTTGGGTTTACAGGTTCTGGTGGATGTAGTTCACAGTCATGCAAGCAATAATGTCACTGATGGCCTCAATGGCTTTGATATTGGCCAAGGTTCTCAAGAATCCTACTTTCATGCTGGAGAGCGAGGGTACCATAAGTTGTGGGATAGCAGGCTGTTCAACTATGCCAATTGGGAGGTTCTTCGTTTCCTTCTTTCCAACTTGAGGTGGTGGCTAGAAGAGTATAACTTTGACGGATTTCGATTTGATGGAATAACTTCTATGCTGTATGTTCATCATGGAATCAATATGGGATTTACAGGAACCTATAATGAGTATTTCAGCGAGGCTACAGATGTTGATGCTGTGGTCTATTTAATGTTGGCCAATAATCTGATTCACAAGATTTTCCCAGACGCAACTGTTATTGCCGAAGATGTTTCTGGTATGCCGGGCCTTGGCCGGCCTGTTTCTGAGGGAGGAATTGGTTTTGATTACCGCCTGGCAATGGCAATCCCAGATAAGTGGATAGATTATCTAAAGAATAAGAATGATGAAGATTGGTCCATGAAGGAAGTAACATCGAGTTTGACAAATAGGAGATATACAGAGAAGTGTATAGCATATGCGGAGAGCCATGATCAGGTATTTTAAATTTATTTCTACAACTAAATAATTCTCAGAACAATTGTTAGATAGAATCCAAATATATACATCCTGAAAGTATAAAAGTACTTATTTCGCCATGGGCTTCAGAATATTGGTAGCCGTTGAATATCATGATAAGTTATTTATCCGGTGACATTTTTATGTTCACTCTTATTATGTCTGCTGGATACAGTCTATTGTCGGTGACAAGACCATTGCATTTCTCCTAATGGACAAAGAGATGTATTCTGGCATGTCTTGCTTGACAGATGCTTCTCCTGCTGTTGATCGAGGAATTGCGCTTCACAAGGTTTGTCTGTTTCTATTGCATGTTAAGGTTCATATAGGTTAGCCACGGAAAATCTCACTCTTTGTGAGGTAACCAGGGTTCTGATGGATTATTCAATTTTCTGTTTATCATTTGTTTATTCTTTTCATGCATTGTGTTTCTTTTTCAATATCCCTCTTATTTGGAGGTAATTTTTCTCATCTATTCACTTTTAGCTTCTAACCACAGATGATCCATTTTTTCACAATGGCCTTGGGAGGAGAGGGATACCTCAATTTCATGGGTAATGAGGTATGTCTTACATCTTTAGATATTTTGTGATAATTACAATTAGTTTGGCTTACTTGAACAAGATTCATTCCTCAAAATGACCTGAACTGTTGAGCATCAAAGGGGTTGAAACATAGAGGAAAACAACATGATGAATGTTTCCATTGTCTAGGGATTTCTATTATGTTGCTGAAAACAAATGTCATCTTAGAAAAAACATTGTTTCTTTTTTGTAGTATAGAAGATTACTGTATAGAGTTAAAGTTACCAAGTTTCAAAAAAAAAAAATGATTACTGCAAGTGTGTCTGTTTTGGAGTAATTGTGAAATGTTTGATGAACTTGTACAGTTTGGCCATCCTGAGTGGATTGACTTCCCTAGAGAGGGCAATAATTGGAGTTATGACAAATGTAGACGCCAGTGGAACCTCGCGGATAGTGAACACTTGAGATACAAGGTTCAGTTTTTTGAATCGCAGCTTGTTAAATATCTAGTAATTTTTAGATTGCTTACTTGGAAGTCTACTTGGTTCTGGGGATGATAGCTCATTTCATCTTGTTCTACTTATTTTCCAACGAATTTCTGATTTTTGTTTCGAGATCCAAGTATTAGATTCATTTACACTTACTACCGCCTCGTTTCTACCACTAAGGCCTTGATGAGCAGCTTAAGTTGATTCTTTGAAGCTATAATTTCAGGCTACCAATCCACAGCCTGCTATATTTGTTGGATACTTTCCTTTTCTTTACATGAAGTGATACTAATTGAAATGGTCTAATCTGATATCTATATTTCTCCGTCTTTCCTCCCCCTCATGATGAAATGCAGTTTATGAATGCATTTGATAGAGCTATGAATTTGCTCGATGAAAAGTTCTCATTCCTCGCATCAGGAAAACAGATAGTAAGCAGCATGGATGATGATAATAAGGTAAAATCATCTAAAGTTGAAATGTTGGGTTTATGAATGCTTTAATTCTATCCAAGGACAAGTAGAAACCTTTTTTACCTTCCATTTCTTGATGATGGATTTCATATTATTTAATCCAATAGCTGGTCAAATTTGGTAATAGCTGTACTGATTAGTTACTTCACTTTGCAGGTTGTTGTGTTTGAACGTGGTGACCTGGTATTTGTATTCAACTTCCACCCAAATAACACATACGAAGGGTATATATGTTTTACTTATCATGAAATTATTGCTCTGCTTGTTTTTAATGTACTGAACAAGTTTATGGAGAAGTAACTGAAACAAATCATTTTCTGTCTAATTTAACTCTTTTTCTGATCCTCACATGACGAAAACAGGTATAAAGTTGGATGTGACTTGCCAGGGAAGTACAGAGTTGCACTGGACAGTGATGCTTGGGAATTTGGTGGCCATGGAAGAGTAAGGATTTGCTTGAATAACTTTTGATAATAAGATAACAGATGTAGGGTACAGTTCTCTCACCAAAAAGAACTGTAATTGTCTCATCCATCTTTAGTTGTATAAGATATCCGACTGTCTGAGTTCGGAAGTGTTTGAGCCTCCTGCCCTCCCCCTGCGTTGTTTAGCTAATTCAAAAAGGAGAAAACTGTTTATTGATGATCTTTGTCTTCATGCTGACATACAATCTGTTCTCATGACAGACTGGTCATGATGTTGACCATTTCACATCACCAGAAGGAATACCTGGAGTTCCAGAAACAAATTTCAATGGTCGTCCAAATTCCTTCAAAGTGCTGTCTCCTGCGCGAACATGTGTGGTACAGTTCTTGCCGCGACCTCCCTTTTTATTGTGGTTTTGTTCATAGTTATTTGAATGCATAGAAGTTAACTATTGATTACCGCCACAATCACCAGTTAAGTCCTCTGAATACTAATTTGAAAGGTAGGAATAGCCGTAATAAGGTCTGCCTTTAGCATCTACTGTACAAAACAAAAGGATGCCAAAAAAATCTTCTCTATTCTCTTTTTCCCTAAACCAGTGCATGTAGCTTGCACTTGCATAAACTTAGGTAAATGATCAAAAATGAAGTTGATGGGAACTTAAAACCGCCCTGAAGTAAAGCTTGGAATAGTCATATAATGTCCACCTTTGGTGTCTGCGCTAACATCAACAACAACATACCTCGTGTAGTCCCACAAAGTGGGTTCAGGGGAGGGGAGGGTAGAGTGTATGCAAAATTTACTCCTATCTCAGATTTTTTCAATAGACCCTTGGCTCAAGAAAAAAAAAAGTCCAAAAAGAAGTAACAGAAGTGAAAGCAACAGGTGTAGCTAAGCGACCCAACTTGTTTGGGACTGAAGTAGTTGTTGTTGAAACAGTGCATGTAGATGAACGCATATCAGAAATGGACAACACAATTATTTGTGCAAGTCAAAAACTGTACTACTATTCTTTGTGCAGCTTTATGTTTAGAAAAGTTAAATAACAAATGAATTTTGCTAGTAGAAAAATAGCTGGGAGAGAAATTTTTTATATTGAACTAAGCTAACTATATTCATCTTTCTTTTTGCTTCTTCTTCGCCTTGTTTGTGAAGGCTTATTACAGAGTTGACGAATGCATGTCAGAAACTGAAGTTTACCAGACAGACATTTCTAGTGAGCTACTACCAACAGCCAATATCGAGGAGAGTGACGAGAAACTTAAAGATTCATTATCTACAAATATCAGTAACGTTGACGAACGCATGTCAGAAACTGAAGTTTACCAGACAGACATTTCTAGTGAGCTACTACCAACAGCCAGTATCGAGGAGAGTGACGAGAAACTTAAAGATTCATTATCTACAAATATCAGTAACATTGGTCAGACTGTTGTAGTTTCTGTTGAGGAGAGAGACAAGGAACTTAAAGATTCACCATCTGTAAGCATCATTAGTGATGTTGTTCCAGCTGAATGGGGTGATTCGGATGCAAACGTCTGGGGTGAGGACTAGTCAGATGATTGATCGATCCTTCTACGTTGGTGATCTTGGTCCGTGCATGATGTCTTCAGGGTGGTAGCATTGACTGATTGCATCATAGTTGTTTTTTTTTTTTTAAGTATTTCCTCTATGCATATTATTAGCATCCAATAAATTTACTGGTTGTTGTACATAGAAAAAGTGCATTTGCATGTATGTGTTTCTCTGAAATTTTCCCCAGTTTTTGGTGCTTTTCCTTTGGAGCCAAGTCTCTATATGTAATAAGAAAACTAAGAACAATCACATATATAAAATGTTAGTAGATTACAATACCTCATTCTGTTCTTTTTTGGTTCATTCTTTCCAAAGTATTTTATCAAGATATTTCATTAAGGCTTTTGAATTAAGTCATGTTTCGATTGAACGCTTCGACTTTTGATTAAGTGTTTTCATTAGATAAGTACAAAATTTAAAATTGTGTTTGCGTGATTAAGTTAACCACATAAAATATGTCATCTTCTTTAATTATACGCATTCGCCTAAATAGACGTTTTCTACTTGAGGGTGATGCATTCAATTAAATGAGATCACATATTTGATGTGGTTGATTTAACTAATAGATAAATTAAAACAAGCTCAAACTTTACCTCGAGATTTGAACAGAAAGTGTCTAAGTGAAACACTTTATTATGGAGTTGAGGTACTCAGCTGAAACATGACTAATTTCGAGTATTTTAATGAAATATTTTGACTAGTTTTAAGAGGTTGTGTTGTTTTTTCCCAAATTAAAAAAAAAAAAAAAATCTAAGAAAATACCAAATCCGGGGCCCGATTACAACTCTCGGGTCAGTCTTGTTAATGGTGGATTAATCTTGTAAAAGGGGTATATTAGTATTGAACTGAAGAAAACTTCAATTTTGAGATCAAAAAATGGGGGAGAAGAACAAGTACAGTATAATTATACCTACCTACAATGAACGCCTCAATATTGCTCTCATCATCTACCTCGTCTTCAAGCATCTCACGTAAACACTCTTTCTCTCTCTCCCGTTTTCGTTTTTTTTTTTTTGTGATCGCTGATATTGAAATTTCTGTCTTTTTGGAAAATATTTGCATCTGGAAAAATGGGTTTTATGATTTATTAGAAAAGAATTGTTTTTTGTTTTTTTATATTCGATCTTCTGTAAGCAACTTAAATTTGGCATGAATTAGAGCTGTGTAGAGGAAATTGATTGGAATTTTGTTGAAGTTGTTGCTATTAAGATGGTTTGTGTAATATCCAAGCATTGATGAATTCGATTAAGCTATGATCTCTGTGAAAACGGTTATCTTTATCATCAAAATCTAGGAAAAGGGTAGTCTTCAATTTTGAACTGTATAGGAGAGGAGAAATTAGAAAAAGAGTATAGAATGAAAGGGAGAAGTAAATAGAGAGAGTTAAGAAAAGAGGCAAGAGAGTATAGAGAAGAAACGAAATAGAGATCAGAGAGGAAGATTGGGTGATAGAGAGATTAGATGGAAGGTAGAAGACACGATCAGTATAGGTATAGAAGGGAGAGAGGAATTAGCAATTTCCACATTTTCAAAAACTTTCTTTCTCTACCCCTAGCTTCTATCTCTTTGTGTGCATGTGAGAGAGTGAGTGAGATGTTCAGTTACGGCTCATGTGCCACCCATGTTCTCACAACTATTTGTGGATTCATGACAGTTTGATTTAAATTTGAGTTAGATAGGCAGGAGCATTTGTAAAGATCGTATCTTTTTGGTTAGTTTTTGTGGAATTTAATATAGATTGTTGGGAGTTTTCGTGAGGGTTGTAACTTTTTGAGGACATTCATTGATTGGTAGGCTGGAAAATAATGTGGCTTACACCTAAATTCCAAGTGAGAGTTGTTGGCAGATATCATTTATCAGGAGTTAATTTGGAAAGGGCTATGTCAAAACATTTAACAGTTCTCGGAATCAATTTACACCATTTAAATTATTTTCGAAGATGATCTTTCTTTTTATAAGGAATTTGGGTGATCTATGCATTATTTGTCGTATGGATGGGGAGTTAGTTTCTGTCCTTTACATGCTTACCATTTTTTCATATTTATTTGCTCATTGCTAATAATATCGATACTCAACCACGAGACAGTAGGCTTTGGCGAAGAAGACATTGTTATAGAGATTGATTTATATAGATGTCAGATCCTGTTTTATTCAACCGCATTGTTGTTTATAATGACGCAAAAAAAAAATGCACACCATGTTCACGGCATCATTTAGTGTTTTTGATGGAGATGATCCCATTTTGAGGACTAAATTCATTTTTCTCTTGTATTTGAATTAAATCTCAGCCTATTTTTTCGTATGCAATATTTAGAGGTGATAAAATCATGTAAATGCATAAGCAGACTCTTATCGCAAATTTTGTTTTTTCTGGACTCAGGGATGTTGATTTTGAAATAATAGTAGTGGATGATGGAAGTCCAGATGGCACACAGGATATTGTCAAACAATTGCAGAAAGTATATGGAGAAGATCGTATTGTTAGTAGCTTCTTACTTCACCCAGTTGTTGCACATTATGCTTCCCTGATCATACCTATTTATCATCTCACTTTGCTCATTTCTCTTGTTTGCTACAGTTATTGAGACCTCGACCTCGGAAACTTGGTCTAGGTACTTCCATTTTAATATGATAACCATGATTTCTTTTTCATACGAAGATGTTAGCCATGAATAGTCTCTGACATTCCTCTTATCTCAGGCACTGCATATATTCATGGTTTGAAGCATGCCTCAGGCAATTTTGTTGTTATTATGGATGCGGATCTTTCTCACCATGTAAGTATGATTGAAGATAAGGGCCTCGTTTGGTTTCCTTTTATATTTTGTCTTTTTGTTGCGAAATGTCCTTTATCTATTTGTTGGAACATCAAGTGTTTTTGTTGGGAAAGGAACAGAAGGGGGGATATGTGCTGTGCAGTGGGTTTCTTTTATGCTTGATGTCATGGAAAGAAACGATTCAAATAGCTCTGGTAATTCATGGATCATCCACTGTTCTGAGTGTGTATATCGAATAATTTAAATTTATTTTTTGGATTAATCGTTATTATTCAGGTCGTCATTGTTGCATTATTGCATATCCTGTCTGTGCCTGCACTGATGTAGTTTTCCCCGCATCCAGCACCCCTCAACAGTAAGAAAAAGGGACATTTGTTCCTTGGACAACTGAAACTTGATAGTGTAGCACCAAAAATCAGTGACTTCCTGAATTTAATTATGTGAGCCTGTATATTATTAGTCCGTCTCATAAAATATTAGTCTCTATACCAAGCTTATTCTTCTGTTTGAATTTTAAATTTTATGGTTGATTCTTTTATACTCTTTTTTACAGCCAAAATACCTGCCAAGATTTATCAAGTGAGTATTTGTTTCTTAAATTTCAGTTTTCTTGTAATGGTGAGCACTAGAACTATAATTCAAATTTTATGTCTAGGAAACAAATGGAGACAGGTGCCAATATAGTTACTGGAACTCGATATGTTTCTAGTGGTGGTGTCCACGGATGGAACCTTATGCGCAAATTGACAAGTAGGGGAGCCAATGTCCTTGCACAGACACTACTTTGGCCGGGTGTATCAGACTTAACTGGATCCTTCCGGTATGCTTTAATTTGGAAGTAGAGGAAAATCAGTGGTTCGATGAATTGTTATGAGCATATTTAGGAAATGTACTTTGCATAAACCATAAGGGGTTGCTTAGATTAGGATTACGTCTTAATGTCTGGGACTTCGGCATGGAGATTAGAAATCTAATAGAATGATGGATTGGGAGATAATAATTATAATTGGTCAAGACATCCTATTATTCTACAAACTTAAAACTAAAAGGAGGGAAGTCCACATAGAAAAGGAAAAAAGACACTGTACTTCTATATGGGAAATTGATTTGGTCTCAGGAATCATTGTTATGTGTGATTTTTTTTTCTTAAGAAACTGAATGATCATCATGCATTTTACTCTTATGCCAGAGCTTCCATTTCCCTCTAATACACTGTAATGCTCACAACTAATGTAATTTGTATAATCATTGTCTGAAACTGAATTGCTTGTTTTGAAGGCTGTACCAGAAGTCTGCACTAGAAGACATCATAAGCTCTTGTGTCAGTAAAGGATATGTTTTTCAGATGGAGATGATTGTTAGGGCTTCAAGAAAAGGTTACCGGATTGAAGAGGTAGCTACAGACATGGATTTACTGTTGAATACTAATTAATCCACTGCATTGACATTTGTTTGGACCAGAAAATCTTATCTCTTGTTGCATCATGCTATTAACTGCATAATTTATGATGTTCAAAGTGCTATTCTAATATTAATAATGATGCAACCTAATGGCAGTTCTTAAGCATTTAGTTAGTTGTATGCTCTCAAACTGAGAGCTTTGTTGGTTGCTATCCCCCAATTGTCTCTTATCCTAACATTGTATTATGCGGCTGTGAGCCGTTTGATATTTATAACCTTCATTTCAAGAAAAATAATGATTCAAACTGCAGGAATATGTTCTGATTCTTTTGCTGCTATGAGAGCTCTCTTCATTATTATTATTGTTGTTTTTCCTTAGTCAATCACACCCCCATCCCCACCCCGTGTGTTTTTTATCTTTTTCATCTCAGTTCTTCACAATAGTCACCTGCAACCACTTCATTATTTGGTTTTATTTGTATGTTGTACTTTTTTTCGTTCCAAAGGTTGGCCTGAATTCAAGTTGAATTTTACTATTTGTATGTAGGTTCCAATTACTTTCGTTGATAGAGTATTTGGAAGTTCCAAGCTGGGAGGATCTGAAATAGTGGAGTATCTAAAGGGCCTTCTGTATCTTCTGGTTACAACTTGATATGGATACAAGCTGCATGACCAGAGATTCCAAAGACTTGAGTTGTTTAGCAACCCGTGACATTCTGAAGACTTGAACTAGGACCATATAACAAATTCTTTTTTCTATTTGCTTCAGCTTATGTAACCAAAATTTTGATGAATGAGCTATGATGTATTGGAAATAGTGTTACTGGAGTAATTTTCAATGCTACTTTGGTTTATTTTGTGGATGATGCTTTCCATTATTGGCTAATACACTTGTGCAAGTTATCTGTTATCACATTGATTTCAACATCCGTGAATTTAACTTGCATTTTCCAGCTTATATGAATGTCTACTTTTGGCTGAATTAGTGAGGGAAATCTGGTAGTCCTGAAGTTGAACATATTTATATAGTTCCAGCTGAATATATTGATTAATTTTGTTAAGATTAGTGGGGCTTCTCATTTTTCTTTGTTCTTCTTTCTTTCTTTTTGTCTAAACTTGCTGGTGTTTACACAATTTGGTTGTTAGGCTTCTTCCTTTTGTAGAGCTATATCACAACACCAAATAATTTGGATCAATAGGACTAGTTACATATGGAGATAAATTTTGATTTAAAATAAACAGGACACAACTCTCAATGCAAGTAGTTCAATTGACTTTTTTTGGTTCTGCAATGTAAAGATTGCATCAATACATGCACAATAAACTTAAAGATAAGCAATACAAAAAAAGAAAATTCATATCACAATCAGCCATGAAAGTGAACTGAAGCTATCAGGTACATAGCCTCTTCATTGTACTTCAAACATCAAACACCCTAATCTGAAAATTTTGCGACAGAACTAACTACATTTTCCAACCAAATCATCCAGAAACTACTACTACTTACTTTTTTGTTCAACAAACGTCTATAAGAGGGGAAATCATTCCAACTCAAATTTTCCCAACTCTTCTCGCTGAAGTTCTCCTCTCTGATAACCCCACAGTTTTGTCCATGCTGATTGGCAAAGGAGGCTTCTTGTTCTCCTTACTAGCTGTGCTTCTCAAGAAATACCTCGAAGTTTCTCTCCTCTCTGCTATTGGTGTAGAAGCAACAACTGATTTCCTCGCGCTTTGGAACATCTTAGGCTCTCCTTTTTTCTTGGAAGATTCAACTCTAACTCCCAAATCATACACTGGTTTCTTCTCATCCACAGTGTCACCACCCTTCTTCCTCTTCAATCTCTCATTCCTTCTAGCAGAGTACTCTTCATAAAACTTGCCCCTTTCGAATAAAGGACTTTTCTTTGCATTCAATGAATCAGAGTTATCAGCAGCATTCACATCCTCGTTACAAAATTTGTTCTGCACCATTTTGGACAAAGCCCTTAATTCACAAGAAATGGTATGGTACTCTGGACGAAGTTCCCATTCTTCAACACTGCTGCTAACCCTCTTAGGCAACTGAGTTTTCAAAGAACCTACATACAATCTAAAATTTAGCCCAAGAAAAGAGAGACCATCAAAATTGAGAAGGAAAAGGGGGTCTCAAATTTTGCAAACAGTTCAACTACTATACAAAGCATGGATGTTTGTCCCTGTTTAAATTCAAAATTAAGCAAATTCTTTCAAAACTATCCACTTGTTCCCTGTTTATATTCAAAAACCTGAAAAGAAAAACACCACAATAACAACAACTATGCCTAAATCAGCTATATAACAAATCTCAAACACCCATTTTGTTTTCATAACAAGGGAACCACAGCCGCTACCCTTTTGGTAGTGCGCAAACAACAAAGGAAATATAAACCGCAATAGGCAACACAAGCCCCGTGTGACAAGCTCGACCTAGAAACACGTGCAGGTGGTATGGAACCCAGGACCCCAATGGAAATCCCAGGCTCAAACCAACTCGGCCACTCATTTCTCTTCATCCCAATACATACAAAACACAAAAGGGGTCTCAAATTTGCCTTCCAACTCTAAATACAGTACTTATACAAAGCTCAATACTTAACACCCATTTCTCTTCATTCCAATACACACAAAACTCAAAAAAGAAAAAAAAGGGGGCTCAATTTTTTTGTCTTCCAGCTCTAAATACAGTACTAATCATACAAAACTCAACAGTCAACACCCATTTCTCTTCATTCCAATACACAAAAAAAGAAAGAAAAAAAAGAGGTCTCAATTTTTTGTCTTCCAACTCCAAATACAGTACCAATTATACAAAACTCAACAGTCAACCCCCATTTCTCTTCATTCCAATCCACACAAACCTCAAAAAAGCAAAAGGGGCTTCAACTTTTGGTAATCATACAAAACTCAACAGTCAACATCCATTTCTCTTCATTCCAACACACACAAAACTCAAACAAAGCAAAAGGGGTCTCAATTTTTTTTTGTCTTTCCAGCTCTAAACACAGTATTACTACTAATTATATCAAATACCTGGTGGGGTTCGAATTGGGTTTGGAGTAGATTGAAGAACACGACGATTCCGAATTCCAACAGGAGATCTAGTAGCAAGTGGGGGTTTACGGCTAGATCTCATCATCATCTTGGACATGAAAACCAAATCAGAACTCAAGATTGAAGAAGCGGCGGAAAATTATGAAAGAGGAGAAAAAAATAGTGTTTTTTTGGCTTAGTGCTTTGAGCGTTCTTGTATGTAAATAGTTTATTGTTGTTAATTTTTGTCCTTATTTAGATGAGTTTGAATTTGGCCCTAAAGTAGGAAGAAGCGCTCCAACGGTCAAATTCAAGGATCGGACGGTTATAAATCGTCTGATATTTAAAGAAGAAGATTGATGGAATATATACATTTTAGACACCTCAACTTGTATTTATGATCTCGAATGAACACTTTAACTCACAAAATAATAATCTAAAATAATCTTCAAATTTTATATGGCACGTTAGCGTATGGGTGTCCACGACATAGTGGGATGAGTCTGAGTGTTTAGTTGTCGATTGCGACCAAGTTATGTGTTATGTTTTTTTATATAAAAGATTCTTTATAATATGATAAAAATTTTAACCCCAAAATGCCTTAATAATTCAATAAACGAGTTATACTTTTGGGAGTCTTTTGCTGGCTGATTAGAATTATGTAGGTTATTACTAATGTAGAAATTAGTTTTGAGGAAATTTATGTATTAGTTTATACTTTATACTAGGATTAGTTATTCATATATAAAAGTTACACATATATTAGTTATTTTAGCTTCTATCTTGCATAAAATAATACATAAATTCTCTCATAACTTTTACATATATTACTTATGCGAATTTTTAAATTGTCAACCAAACATCTTATTAATTTTATTCATGAATAATTTATTCTTTATATACCTACCAACGTCGTATAAGTTATACGGTAATTAATAGGAGAATAACTTCTTTGTCATCCGACTACCAAACGAGGGTGTGCATTTGATGTCATCGTCACTTTTTGTTTTAGTTAGGGGCGTGCGTTCGATGTCATCGTCGCTTTTAGTTAATTTGGGCATGTGCACAAATCAAATTTAGATTCACTTTTTAATATAAGAAAAAACTATGAATATCAAAGAGTGTTAATAAATAGCAACCAAGGAATTTTCGTTAATGATTTTTTAATTGAAGATTAACAAAGTAGACTACTCATACTAATAGCACGTTCAATTAAAAGTGTCAACTATAACACACTAATCAATGTCAAATGCAATACAGGAGAAAACGTCTAACTCTATTTTATAGCTACTTGGTATCCAAATTAACTTGTACAATTTAATTAATCCATCGCCATCGCCAAGAATTGAACACATGAGAAGGAATCAAACTCTTTTTTGGCTCTAATGAGATTTGAACCCGAATATCGCATATAGTACAAAAGACAATGTTTAACTTAGACACCTCAACTGAGTGATGTCCAATATTTAATCAGAAAGGTGTAGTAGCATACTGAATATCACACAGACCAAAACCATTCAGAGAAAGTACAATTAAAAGAGTTGAAACTTCAACATGTAATGGAGGTAATGGAATCCCATTTTGGTATCAGAATGATGGGGTAACCCAAATCGCGGGGGATACAGGATCAACACCAGAAATGCCTTGATTCAAGGATTGAATGGTTTCATCTTCGAGATTGTAAGCCCCTATCTCTCTCGAATCATCTCCGCGGGAGAACACACATGTCCAATCATAGGTAAAATAGATATGATTAGGCTTCACTCCAACGAACTTGGAAGAGTCGATGGCAATTGATGCATTACACCCCACAAAAATTGCTTTGTCTCCCAAGCTTTTAATCTCTTCGGCTTCTCCTCTGATTACATCAATTTTGAATAGTCGAAATTTATTTGTCTTCCACCCATTTGATGCATCTTCTGTAATCATCAATTGTTGAACAAATAACAGCTCACCTGACACTTCAATGAGAAAGTACCGGCTTGCATCAATCGATAGATCATGTATCTCAACAACCTCTCGTGGTTTTACAACAGGCTGAGGATCGCTAGGCTCTGGGATGTCAATAACTGAGACCCACCGCCCCTGGTTGACATAAAGTTGTCCATTGAAGTATTGCATATGGTAAAATGCACTGGTCTCTTCAAGAATAGGAATTTTGGTCCAACAGAGGTCTCCAGGTCGCCAAAAAGCCAAACGGTACGTAGGGCGACTATAACAAATTATCAGAACATAGTCAGATGTTAGGGATGGGCTAGCAGATAATACAACATGGTCGATCGTCACATAGAAACGTTTTGATCTCTGATCTCTCAAGCCAGTAGACGAAGGAAGCTGAATTTGGGCGCGTGAAAAAGGGTGCAACAAAGTCATCTCTCCTGTACTTGTCCTATAGTTCACCGTGAAAAGCCATCCCTGTGTTGGAAAACACAGTCTCCCTCTAGCTTCAGGGAGGAAAACTCTGCAAGAAATTTTCTCCTTGGAAAGAGAGTAGAATTTCCGATAATCGTCATACACATAAGCAGCCAGCATAAGCAAAGGAACTTGAGGCGCTAACACATCAAAATTCTCTTTGGTACCAGCACTTCTCCATGATTTACAAACAAAACCAAATCTAATGAAATCCTCCATTGCTGTAACACGCTTTGCTATCATAACAAGTAGTTCATATGGAAGTTCTGACCAGTTCGCCATATTTACCAGAAAAAGGGATGAATGCTTCCTACATACATAGGGCACAGAAAGCTCATCTAATCAAGAGAAAAGTTTAATCAACAAAGTTAATAAAAACAGATAAACTCAATCATTTTGAACACTTCCTCAGAATTGCTACAGGAGAACAGGGCACAAGAAAAAAGACTCATAATGAGTTGTAAGGAAGCATCCAAAGATTTCTTTCAAATCATTTTCCCAAAAAATTAGCCCGAGTACAAATGCAACAATAATCTACACTTACTCCTTGGATCATCTATATACATTTATAGCAGCACACAACTTGATGTCCCTAAAATTCATTGCATAAATATTTCAAGTCCTTTTCTTTTGTTTGAAGAATCTCCTCTAATCAAGACAGCCCCTTTTAGCAAATATTAGAACATGTATATCCATGTTACACCACTTATTCATAAGCTTCTTACAACCATATACTTTACTTTATATCGATCAATATGAATTTAACACATTCTATATATCGCATGTATAAATTTTCTTCTATTCAAATTATAAAGGACAAACGACAAGTTATTGTTCCTCAATATTTGTCTAATTGTGTTATAAGATTTTAGTTAGTTGGAGATTTGGTAATTCTTGTTTGTTTCTATACCATGTAACTCGTAAACAACAACAATAGCATACCCACAAGTGGGGTTCGGGAGGATAGGATTTACGCAAACCTTTAACCCTACCTTGTAGAGGTATATATATATATATAGTAGAAAATGGTAAATTTCACTCTTTTCCCATCTTTTTCAAGGGGGACTTTTATCAAATAAATGGTGTGCATAGGAAGATAATCCAAACAACAGGACATCTACATATCAATAAAAATGCTACTAATCTAGTATATATGAAACACAAATCAGTAAATTAGAGGCTGAGATTCGTAATACTCACCCAACAGACTTGTCCAATTTCCGTGATTGCTCTGCAAGTAAAGGGGATTATGGAATTTGGAAAATCTGGTTTTGTTATAAAATAAAAAAAACTAACAATAAGAGAGAGCTATAAGCCAATTACTTCGTTACTATTCTTGCTACCTTGGAAAGGAACACCAAGAAAAAAATTTAATGAAGAAACCATATTTTAGTGGGATAAAACCTTTTGTTAAAAGAGAGAATAAATAGTACAACGCGTATTTCACTTTTCCTACAAACACATCACTTTTATACTAAATGATTATAATATGAATTTTATATATGGTGAATGTTTTAAAAAGAATTTATTTTATGAAATAAGAAATAATAATATAATTAAATATATTTTTTTTGTGTAAAATTTGGTGCAGTGGATTGGAGTTGATTACACCAAAAATAGTGTTGACACCAAATTTGGTGTTTGGGTTGGAGATGCCCTAAGCTTTCCAAATGTTGATATTAACAATGAAATTCGAACGCAGGCTCAACAACACTAAAAGAGCCTTAGGAACCCACCCAAGAGCCAATAGACCAATTAGATCATATGTTTATTGGGTGCTCTGTTTTATATTATATAAATACCTCTTAATTTCTATATCGATATAGATATTTCGAGATGAGGTTAATGGATGCTCAAGCATCAGGCGGACTCCATGTGGGTCCGACCCTGAGCTCATCCAAATACATTGTTGATAATCACTTAGAGAGGTCAGTCTTTGAGCTCATCCAATTATGTATTAAGCCTTAATATATTGAGAACCACTTAATTTTTTAAGTAAATTTATTTAGATATTCGAATTATGACTTGTTTCAAATTAGCAATTGAACCTATGAAAAAATGTTTCTATATTTAGACACGTCCCATTCAAATTTTATCAAGCTTGAGTAACAAATGTCAATAACTAAAGATTTTTTTCATTAGTATTTTCTAATTGAAGATTAATTAAGTAGATTACTCATACTATTAGCACCCGTTCAATTTAAAAGAGTCAACATTATTGGTTGATTTTTTATTTGTGATAATTTAAGAGGCAAAATAATCAACTAATTGAAGATTAATTAAGTAGATTACTCATACTATTCAATGTTTAATGCAATTTTTTTTAGAAAGGTTGCTATACAAGAGAAAACATCTAATCTATTTTATAATGTGAAATCAACGAATGTTCTTCTTTCTTGCCTCTAATGAGATTTGAACCACAAAATCCCATAGTACAAAAGAGAACATAAATAGTGATGTTCAAAATTTTATTCATAGTTGTGATGACAACCCAAGTATGATGAAAGTTCAAGTCATTTCAAAAGAAAATGTCATCTCCAACACCAAATCACCTAAAACATTCAATCTTTTTCTCTTAGATCAGCTAATTCCAGATCCTTATGCACCAGTTGTACTATTTTATCCAAATCTTGATGACAAATCAAGAGACACATCTATGCCAATGTGGAGTTCATTTGTCACAATAAGTTTAGTTTCCAATGCCTCTGCTATAGACAACCTTAAAGAGTATAGCATACTGAATATCACACAGACCAAAACCATTCAGAGAAAGTACAATTAAAAGAGTTATACTTCAACAGGTAATGGAGGTAAGTGGAGTCCCATTTTGATATCAGAATGATGGGGTAACCCAAATCGCTGGGGATACAAGATTAACACTAGAAATGCCTTGATTCAAGGGTTGAATGGTTTCATCTTCGAGATTGTAAGCCCCTATCTCTCTCGAATCATCTCCTTCGGAGAACACACATGTCCAATCATAGGTAAAATATATATGATTAGGTTTCACTCCTACTAACTTGGAAGAGTCGATGGCAATTGATGCATTACACCCCACAAAAATTGCTTTGTCTCCCAAGCTTTTGATCTCTTTTGCTTCTCCTTTGATTGCATCTATTTTGAATAGTCGAAATTTATATGTCTTCCACACATTGGCTACATCTGTCGTAATCACCAATTGTTGAACAAATAATAGTTCACCTGACACTTCAATGAGAAAGACAAAGCGCTGGCTTGCATGAGTCGATAAACCCACCATCTGAACAACCTCTCGTTGTTTTACAATAGGCTGAGGATTGCTAGGCTCTGGGATGTCAATAGCTGAAACTACACACCGCCCATTGTTGACATAAAGTTGTCCATTGAAGTATTGGATCATATGGTAAAATGCATAAGTTTCTTCAACAAAAGGAATTTTGGTCCAACAGAGGTCTCCAGGTCGCCATAAAGCAAAACGGTATGTAGGGCGACCATAACAAATTATCAGAACATAGTCAGATGTTACGGATGGGCTGGCAGATAACACAACATGGTTGATAGTCACATAGGGACGTTTTGATTCCTGATCTCTCAAGCCAGTAGGCGGAGGAAGCTGAATTTGGGCACGTGAAAAAGGGTGCAACAAAGTCATCTCTCCAGTAAATGTTGTATAGTTCACCGTGAAAAGCCATCCCTGTGTTGGAAAACAGAGTCTCCCTCTAGCTTCTGGGAGGAAAACTGTGCGAGAAATTTTCTCCTTGGAAAGAGAGTAGAATTTTCGATAATCATCATCCCTATTAGCAGCCAGCATAAGCAATGGAACTTGAGGCGCTAAAACATCAAAATTTTCTTTGGTGCCAGCACTTCTCCATGATTTACAAACAACACCAAATCTAATGAAATCCTCCATCACTGTAACACGCTTTGCTATCAACACAAGTAGTTCGTATGGCAGTTCTGACCAGTTCGCCATACTTGCCAGAAAAAGGGATGAATGCTTCCTACATACATAGGGCACAGAAAGCTCATTTAATCAACAAAGTTTATAAAAACAGATAAACTCAATCATTTTGTACACTTACTCATAAGCTTCTTACAACCATATTAGAACATGTATATCCATGTTATGCCAGCTTCTTACAACCATATACTTTACTTTATATTGATCAATATGAATTTAACACATTCTATATATCACACGTATAAATTCTTCTATTCAATTATAAAGGACAAACGACAAGTTATTTTCCCTCAATATTTGTCTAATTGTGTTATACTAGGAAGTTTTGGTTCTACACCATGTAACTCATAAACAACAACAATAACATACCCAATATAATCCCACAAGTAGGCTTAAGGAGTAGGATGTACGCAAACCTTTAATCCTACCTTGTGGAGGTATAGAGGCTACACCCCACACACACATTTATATTTATATAGTAAGAAAATGGTAAATTTCACTCCTTTCCCTTCTTTTTCAAGGGGGACTTTTATCAAATAAGTGGTGTGCATAGGAAGATAATCCAAACAACACAGTATATAGTAAACAGGACATCTACATACGAGTGAAGCGGCGAAATCAGGATTTTTAATAAGAGGATTCAATAACTGAAAAACTAAACATACGAACTAATCAAATCGAAGGGGTTCCACATCTATTGTACTGCCCCTAGCATAACATATCAATAAAAACGCTACTAATCTAATATGTATGAAACATAAATCAGCAAATTACAGGCTGAGATTCGTAATACTCACCGAACACAAGAAGAGAGAAGATATGTTTTGTATTACATGAAGATGGAGAAGCCAATTAATACTCTTGCTAAACTTGGACACCAAGAAACAAAAAGTAAACGTCGGTCTTGCTAGTTTTCTCATTAAATATCTTATCAGAAAAATTCAATGGTGTAAAATTTTGGTCAAAGAAAAAAAATAGTATAACGCGTATTTTACTCTTCCTGACAAAGACATTACTCGAAGAAAATTCTTGTAAACCATCTCTCTCAAGTCTCAATTTTATACTTAACTTTTCAGATGTTGATATTTTGTATATTTTAATATTATTTTCAAATTTTCGTCAATAATATCATTTTATTTTATTATTAATTTTCACTATAAATAATTCACAAAATTAAAATGATAAGATGAAAAATTTAATTTAAAAATACAATACATAACATAATAAGTTAAATACAAAATAAAATACAATACAATAAGCCCAAACGGGTGAGGCGAGAAGATCTTACATAACATAATAATTAATTTATCATAACAATAATTTAATAATTCGGTAGGTCGTTTTCAAATTTAGCACTATTAAAAAAAAGTTAGGGTATGATGGTAGACGAAAATCTCTGATTTGAACAATTTTTAACTAGACATAAAAAAAAAATAAGGATAAAAATACTCATTTTAAACTCCGTAATGCATTAATAGAATATTTATGGGAACAACGTAATAATTTTGAAAGTTGAGTGTTTATGTATATGTTTATGTTATTGTATTTCATTTTTATTTGAATTTGTCTATTAATTTGTATATTATATAATATTTTCTTGAAATTTATGTTATTTAGTAATTTAGAATAAAATAAAATTTTATATTAAATAAAAATTTTGAAAAAATAAAATTTTATATCACATGAAAATTATATAAAGTAATTATTTGGGAAAAAGAAAGAAAGGATTTATATTATGAAATAAGAAAATAAGAATGAATAGAAATAATAATATAATATTGATGGCAGAGAAAAAAATTATTTTTTAGAGAGTAAAATAGAGAATTGGGTTGAAGTTGATTGTCTGAAAAATAGAAAACTCTACATTTGAAGAGTAAAATAGAGTTTAGGGTTGCTGACTAAGACATTACTTGAGAAAATTCTTGTAAATAATGTCTCTCAAGTCTCAATCTTATACTTGGCTTTTCAAATGTTGATATTTTGTGTCTTATGACCGAATTGCATTCTTAATGTCTGTTGAGTTTTGACAATCACTTGGACATAGACAAATTACTCATTCGTTGCAATAACCAAGTGACAGATACGTTCGTGATAACAAGATTGACTGTCTTGTTGAATAACATGGCATGATAGGATTGTCTGTCTAGTATAATAACAAATTTAAGGAACTGATTATGTATTAAATTTATTTGGATATTGGAATTATGACCTATTCCAAATTAGCAATTGAGCATATAATAAAATGATTTTATATTTAGGGTGTGTTTGGTCTGAAGTTCCAATCTTCTTATGTTTGTTTGAGTTAAATATTTTTTAAATCAACTCATTTTTCTCAAATTCAAGGAAAATGATTTCCCTTCAAAAATCAAGGAAAACATTTTCCAAAACCTTCCACCAATTTCAAATTACAATTTTTTTGTTGAAAAAATCAAAAAAAAAATTGATGAAAAAGTAAATTTAAACCTTATTTTTAAAAAATATTTTTCAATTTCAATTTTTTTATCCCACCCTCACCCCGATCCACCCCCTCCCTCCAGCCCCTTACCACCCCCACCCCAAAAATAAATAAATTAAAGTTTGTTTTTAGAAAATATTTTCAATTTCAAAAATTTATTTTCACCCACCCCACCCTCGACCACCCCCAACCACCAGCCCATACTCCCCCCCAAAAAAACTTAAAAGTTTGTTTTTAAAAAATATTTTCAATTTCAAATTTTTATTTTCACCCACCCCACCCTCGACCACCCCCAACCACCAGCCCCACACTCCCCCCTCCCCCCCCCCCCCCAAAAAAAAAAATAAATTAAAAGTTTGTTTTTAAAAAATATTTCCAATTTCAAATTTTTATTTTCACCCACCCCCACCCTCAACCCCCCCCCACTAGCCCCTACCCCCCCCCCCCCCATAAAAATGAATTTTCAAAGTTTATTTTTAAAAAATATTTTCAATTTCAAAATTTTATTTTTTCACCCCTACCCTCGACCCCCCACGCACACGCCCCCTACCCCCCCCCCCCCCAAAATAAAATAAAATTTAAGTTTGTTTTTTAAAAATATTTTCAATTTCAAAATTTCATTTTTTCACCCCTACCCTCTACCCCCACCCACCCCACCCCTACCAGCCCCCCTCCCCTCCCCCCAAAAAAAAAATTAATTTTGTTTTTAAAAAATATTTTCAATTTCAAAATTTCATTTGTTTCACCCCTACCCTTGACCTCCCACCCACTCACCCCCCTACCAGCCCCCCACCCAAAAAAAAAAAATTAAGTGTGTTTTTTAAAAATATTTTCAGCTTCAAATTTTTTTTTTCAGCCCAACCCTCGACCCCCTACCAGCCCCCACCCCCAAAAAAAATTTTAAGTTTGTTTTAAAAAAGTATTTTCAACTTCAAAAATTTCAATTTTTCACCCCTACCCTCGACCCCCCCCCCTACCACCCACCCAGGCCCCAAAAAAATTTAAGCTTGTTTTTAAAAAATATTTTCAATTTCAAAAATTATTTTCTACTCTAGTAAAAATAAAAGATATTTCTCAAAAATATTTTTTCATTCATAAATCAAACACTAGAAATCTTTTTCGGAAAATATTTTCTACTCACCAACCAAACATGAGAAAATAAGTCAAAAATCAACTTGTTTTCCAGGAAAACATTTTCCTTCATACCAAACACACCCTTAGACACTTTCAATTCAAATTTTATCAAAAGTAACAAATTCCGATAACTAAAGAATTTTTTCAAAATTGAAGATTAAGTAGACTACTCACACTACTTGCACCGTTCAAATAAAAGAGGCAACATTATTGGTTGATTTGTGATATTTTAAGAGGCAAAATTGTTCGTTAAAATAATCAACTAATTTAGTAACATGCTGACTAAACTATTCAATGGCAAATGCAATTTTTTTTAAGAAGGTCGAATAATTTAACTAATCCACCGGTTTCTCTTGATTGCTTCTTACCGAAGAAATCAACGAGTGTTCTTCTTTTTATGCCTCTAATGAGATTTGAACCCCAAAATCTCATAGTACAGGAGAAAACGTTTGATTCACAGTTCCTATACGTATACACATCGGATAATCACTATCAAATATATAGTGATATTCAATATTTAATTCATAGTTGTGATCACAAGCCAAATATGATGAAAGTTCAAGTCATTTCAAGAGAAAATATCCAACCTTCATCTCCAACACCAAATCACCTAAAAAAAAATCAATCTTTTTGCTCTTGGATCAGCTAATTCCAGATCCTTTTGCACCAATTGTACTCTTTTATCCAAATCTTGATGACTAATTAAGAGACATATCTATGACAATGTGGAGTCATTTATCACAAAAAGTTTTGTTTCCAATGCCTCTGCTATAGACAACCTTAAAGAGTTATAGCATACTGAATATCACACAGACCAAAACCATTCAGAGAAAGTACAATTAAAAGAGTTATACTTCAACATGTAATGGAGGTAAGTGGAATCCCATTTTGATATCAGAATAATGGGGTAACCCAAATCGCGGGGGATACAGGATCAACACCAGAAATGCCTTGATTCAAGGGTTGAATGGTTTCATCTTCAAGATTGTAAGCCCCTATCTCTCTCGAATCATCTCCTTGGCAGAACAAACATATCCAATCATAGGTAAAATAGATATGATTAGGCTTCACTCCAACTAACTTGGAAGAGTCGACGGAAATTGATGCATTACACCCCACAAAAATTGCTTTGTCCCCCAAGCTTTTAATCTCTTTGGCTTCTCCTCTTATTACATCAATTTTGAATAGTCGAAATTTATTTGTCTTCCACCCATTTGGTACATCTTCTGTAATCATCAATTGTTGAACAAATAACAGTTCACCTGACACTTCAATGAGAAAGTACCGGCTTGCATCAATCGATAGATCACGTATCTCAACAACCTCTCGTGGTTTTACAACAGGCTGAGGATTGCTAGGCTCTGGGATGTCAATAACTGAGACTAGATTCCACCCATGGTTGACATAAAGTTGTCCTTTAAAGTATTGGATATGGACAAAAGCACCAGTTTCTTCAAGAATATGAATTTTGGTCCAACCGAGGTCTCCAGGTCGCCAAAAAGCCAAATGATATATAGGGCGACCATAGCAAATCATCAGAACATAGTCAGATGTTAGGGACGGGCTAGCAGATAACACAACATGGTTGATAGTCACAGAGAGACGTTCTGATCCCTGATCTCTCAAGCCAGTAGGTGGAGGAAGCTGAATTTGGGCACGTGAAAAAGGGTGCAACAACATCATCTCTCCTGTACCTGCTGTATAGTTCACTGTGAAAAGCCATCCCTGCGTTGGAAAACACATTTTCCCTCTAGCTTCTGGGAGGAAAACTCTGCAAGAAATTTTCTCCTTGGAAATAGAGTAGAATTTCCGATAATCGTCGTCCACATTAGCAGCCAGCATAAGCAAAGGAACTTGAGGCGCTAACACATCAAAATTTTCTTTGGTACCAGTACTTCTCCATGATTTACAAACAACACCAAATCTAATGAAATCCTCCATCACTGTAACACGCTTTGCTATCATAACCAGTAGTTCATCTGGAAGTTCTGACCAGTTTGTCATACTTTCCAGAAAAAAGGGATGAATGCTTCCTACATACACAGGGCACATAAAGCTCATTTAATCAAAAGAACGGTTTCATCAACAAAGTTAATAAAAACAGATAAATCCAATCATTTTGAAGCTTGCCGTTAAAGAATAAGATGCTGATTCTATAGCAGCTCTGATTCCTTCACCGAGAACGAGAAGTAAGTCTTATAAAACAAACAATAAAGAAGGGAGTACACTTCCTCCAGAATTGTTAAAAGAGAATAGATCTGTGAAGAACATAGGTTAGTACTACAAGTCCGGTACAACGTATCTCTGCATTATAATCTTTGTATAACTTGTCTTTAAACCAAATGACCCCTAAAAGAATAGTTTATGCACAATAAAGATGTCAGAATTTCTTAATCTGTGAAGACGATAGGT